TGAGTAGTAGCGCGACATATTCTGGAGACAGAGAGTATGATTACATGTTCAGAAGTGAAGAGGGCCAAGTGAGGCAGAGCTCCCATTCCTCTTGTCTTCACTTCTGGGTAGAAGTAATATCTTGCCACCAGCATACTGTAAAGGTTGGACATTGTGCCTCCTTCAGGAGAAAAAAGAAAGAAAGAAAAGAAAAAAGCATTGGTGCCCAACCTTTTTTTGTGTCACGGACCAGTTGAGACAAGTACTTGCTGTTTTCCCGGACTGGCAACTTTTTGTTCCCCTGTTGCTTTTAAATTGCCGGTTTTAAAGCAGTGCTACCGGTGACAGCAGAGATGGAGTGGTTAAAAATTTTATGAACATCAATTTTATTTTATGAACATCGATTTTATTTTCATCCATTTCAAAATGTGTTACTGCACAACAAAGGTCGGATAAAATAGCACAGTGAACTTTGAACAAATGGACCCATCCGGAATTAAAAATACACCTCTATATGTAAACGGAATCATTTTTCAGCCATGATCCTACATACGGCGTGAGCATCATTGCTGCTTGCAAACGGGACTGCTCAAAAGATGCCACGATTGATCGCCGCTTCCATCCAGTGGCTAGCAATTAGCGACGAAACCGTTAACGATTACGTGAGGAGCTCGCAATTTCCTGCTTTCCGCTTGATCACTCGGGTGCTACGTGTTCAAACGCTTCAAGGGGTTTCTTGTATTGCCTTGTTTTGGACGACATAGCGTGCGCACCAGCTCCCTCCTCCACGTGACTCTGGGAACTCCTCTTGTCAAAATTGGCTTCATCTTCGGAAGTCACGGTTGCACGTTTGGTCAAGTGGTGTCACGAGACACGCCCCCCCCCCTCCCCCCGATTTCAAGAACAGAAGGGATGCTGCGACCTTACCTGGTGAGAAGATCCCATCGCCTTCGTCATCAGACCATCTTACAATGCTATGCATCTTCTTGAGTAGAACTTCCTCCATCAGGGTGAAGACGGGAGACATCTCATATGTAAACCTAGAGCAAACGTGCTTTTATGAGTACAGTATCGGTACATATAATATGCACAATTTTTTCAAGATAAAAAAATATGATAGTCATGCTAATTGTAATATGGTCGTTCATTTGCAAGAAAAAGCATGCGGACCCTTTGGAATCACCTGGATTTGTGCATAAATTGGTTCGGAAAGGAGGTTTGTAATGGAAAGGGTTACAAAATTATGATACGGATGTGTCTAGCAACGGAAACGTTTCACCACTGTTGTGACAGTGTGCAGAATGCTCAATGGGCTCTTTGGGATCTGCTAACATCTCTATTGACAAAGTTCCAGTCCAATTTCCTGTCAGCCGATCCTCCATCAAGCATCTCCAGTTGGCCCAGAATGCTGCTGCTCGCCTCTTGACCGGTACTCGGAAGAGGGAGCACAGAGAGTAAGCATCCCTTCACTGGCTACTGAGTTCTTTTGAAGATCCTATTCTATTTGTTTTCAACTCTTGAAATGGCCTGTCCCCACCTTCCCCCCCTGAGCTGTTGAAGTGAGTTGAGATGTATAAAATGTCATTGATGGTTCGACGATGTGCCAAACTGCTGCAGCATCGAACCGACGACTGCAGAGGAGGACTTACTGGATGTCGGAATTTTTTGCCTTCAGTAACGGTGGCTGTTAGCGGCAGTTTCCAAGAGAAAGCCATAGGCTAAGATCAGGCCAGTATCGGCCCGATTCCGATAGCTGATATCCTTACTCGTTATTTTTCTTGCAATTGTAAATGTCCACCAATTCAAGCGTTTCCGTGTAGAACAGTGGTATGGCGCAAAGCCGAGTAAAGCCTTGTTACTACTGCAGGTAAGCCGAGCGTCCAAAGACTCTTACATGTTGGTGTTGGCGATCGATGTCAGCCATTCGCCAGCAACACCCATCACATCCAGACCGGCAAACAGTTGATTGAAGAAGCGAGGATGGCCTGGAAAGGGAGAAACTCGTACTGTACATGGGTCCAAAAACATTTCCATCGATGCTAGAAATTCACGTTGATCCAATAAACTATCCGTTCTGTGTGCAACTGGAAAGGTTCGAAATAGACAAGATGCTTCCGGCACCGCTCCGGCAAACACGAGACAAAAGCGCACCTGTATTGACCCCGTACTTCAGTGTGTCTCGACAATCCACTAATATTTGCTCAAGGGTGTCTGGTTTTTCAGGCAGGTCCAGACTAAAGCCTTCCAGTCCCTCTTTGAGTTGGTGAGGGTGGTGAAAATCCAAAACCTGAAACACAATTGGCAGTGCTCCGCTTTCATTCAATTGTCCCTTAACGCGGTCCGCCCCCCTCCATAGGGAGAAGAGTGTACTACCTTGGAATTTCTCTGATAGGACTTGCAGATGTAATTCATCAATATGTTGACGATCTCCTGCAGAAATTCCCTCGTCATTCCTTCTCCACCTGAGGTTGGCAGAAGGTCTATTTGCGGAGACACGCGCAGATATGAACAACCGCACATTTTGCACAACCAACACGGCACTCCGGGGCTGACAATTGACAAGTTGCTTCGATCAACCGTCACCTTTGCAGTAGATGTCGCCGAAATCGGTTAGAGTGTGTTTATTTTCTCGGAGTGAGTCCTCGGGGCGCTTGTCCATTGTGGTCGATTTACCCGTGACGCTGTCTGAAAAAGCAGAACATTCAAGATAAGTGACCAATCTTCATCAACATGAAGGCAGCCTAAAGTCGAGCGGGTGTCATTCGTAAGGACACTGCAAGGACATCCCTGTGGCCGGGATGTCCACAACTATTTGCCTAATATTCAAATGTCTTATTGAGCGTGACAGCATGACTTATGAAGTTTCACGGTAAGAATCACATCTATCGCTTATCTCTCTATCAGTCCATTGAGCTCTGCCCGGCTGTTGATCGATCTCGTCACCTGATGTCTGTCTGTCTGCCGAATCTCGACCTGGACGCAGCTCTCATAGGTTTTGACTGTTTTGCCATTTTTCTGACGTTTTGCGCCTAATTGGCTGTCATTCTCCCCTGAGACAATATCCAGTTGTATTTGTTCCTGACCAAACAGGAATTAAGCTCCACATTTCTGCCCTGTTTTGAAGATTCGGTCGACGGTATTCATTTAAACCTTTCAACACGATCTGATGAGTGAGCATCCATTTCATCCATATTCAACCATTCTAAATGCTTGGCGAAATGTGGTTTCAATATATCGTTTTAAAATCTCCGCCGCCATCGTGCAGCGTCAACATTCCTATCGAGTCATCAAATGACACTTACCTGGCAGCTTTAAGAAATCCATATCCGCATGAATGGCGGGGTTCAAAATTAAGGGACACACAAGCTTCGGTGTTAAAAAAAAAAAAAAAAAAGGGGTAGGTGAGAGTCACGTCAGTGACCCGGTGACTTTTCTTGAAAGAACTTGGCCTGCGGTTGAGCCCGGTTGGTCGTCGTTATTCTTCTCAGACAAACGCTGTGAACTGGAGTGAGACGTCAAGGGGGTCTGGGTGTTGTGTCACTTCTGGGTCGCAGAGAGCAGCAATAAGCACGGCACGCCGGGGGAGGGGAGGGGAGAGTTGGGGCTCACCTACAAGGACGGCTCACTTCTCACGGTACCAACATACGGTATGCGTACGTGCTAGGAAAACTAACAAGCTCAGAAGGATCAAATGATTCCCATGCGGATCAACAGGGACAGATGGTTTTCTTTTGTTTTCAAGGTTGCATATTCTTGTCAATGATTCGAGCAACATTTCTGTGCATAATGACTCACCTGATTTCTCCACAATTGATTTCGGTCCTTAAGAATGAGTCATCAGAGGCACAGTCTGTCATGACTTTGCTTTGAACTGAAAGAAAGGTGGCTACTTCAAGACCAAAGAAAATTGTGACAGAGTGAGGAACTGACGCTGTTGCAATTCACTTGCCTGATTTCCGTGAAGACGGCGCGGCCCCACTCCGCGATGGTGTCAACCTTAATTGGAATGACTTTCGGTCTTTATGCTGTCCGTGTCCCGACTGAGCCAATCCAGGGAGCCGTCTACCTTTCGTCGCCAATCAGCGCGCGAAAGCTCCAGCTCACCGTGAGGTGGAACTTGAACAAGACAGGCAGTTGTAGGAGACGGATGCTGGAGCCAGGCCAATTTGCCTCCCAAGCAACGGGCCACTCAGCTCCCGTTTGATACAGTGGCTCCTGGAAATAAGAAAGGCGGAAAAGCAATAACATAGCCGGATTAGCTTCGTGACAAAATCATTTTTGATAGTGATCCAATATCAGATTCCAAAAAAGCCACTCGTGCCAGTATGTATGCAATTGTATTGAACAGTGATCGGAAGTGATAAAGCACTACTTTGTTGTATTTATTTATTTTTCGGATATCTGTATTTTACCTGAGTGTTTATGGAAGATAGAATACTATACTAGTATTATTCCATGTGAAAACAGATATAGATTGAGTTTGTATGAATTATTTTACCTGAGGCGAATCCAAACACAAGAATCTTTACTTTTGCCACACCACAAAACAACCCCTCAACGATAACAAACCACATATTTTCAGACAGATAAAGTTATCATGTTAATTAAGTGTAGAAAACGTGCACGTCGAAAGCAGATGTCATTGTCATGATTTACAACTGAAAACTTTGAACGATATACACAAAGGAAACAGATCATGTGTTGTGGTGAACCTATGGGGAGAGCTAGTACTACTGTACTCGAAAGAATTGAACACTGTATCAAATACAATACATTATGTGGAAAGCATTAGCATAGATTTTGAAGAATGGGCTGGGGGCGGGGGGAGTAAGCTACAAAAAAGAAATGGAGAATGAACATGATTTAAGATGCCCATACTTGGCGTTAGATCAATCAATGTAAGAAATTGTAGCGTGGTCGTTGAGAAGAGCCGCTGGGTGGCAGTCGAGAGAAATACTGATGTCAGATACCGGTTGATCGCAGCAGAAGAATAAAAGAAAGCCGGAAGTGCCAATGGTAGGTGGAGACAAACAAGGAAGTAAGAGGGATCCAATAACATGACATAGTACTGTACTTCATTTTTCATTTAGACGTTATTTGCGACGATATGTCCTGTTAGTTTTGTCAGCATTGGATTATGCGGACCACAACGTAAGAGGGTTTTTTTTTCCATTCGGAGCAGTTCTGTGTCTCGTCTTTTTACGTTGGTAGCTAGCTTAGCATCTTCTTTGAAAATCCTAAACGTCAATATGCTTACAACTGTACCATAGCGTACAACCTAAAGGCATGTCGAAGAAATAGACAACAACGTAACGTTTGCTGTATTAGTGCTTGTGACGGTTAAAAAAACAAGCATACGTCAATAAGCGTGAACAATTAAAATTATTTTCTCGGGGATTGCTCGACATAGTCGAATAATATCATTGAGAAATGTTTCTGGTTAGGGTTGTATTCTAGTCATGGCAAAGGAATTAAAATATGTTTGGAAATAACCCATTGTGTCTTGCGCTCAACATCTTGCTATCAGATTCACCATCTGCATCAAAAAAAATAAAAAATGCAGTTTAGGAAAATAGCAGCAAACGCCAGTCACGATAGAATACTGAATTCTTTATTTACTGTAATGGCGGGGTGTGTAAAGCAGCGGTCACGAACCTTTTTGAAACTGAGAGCTACTACTTACGTAGTGATTTATGTGAAGGGCTGCCAGTTGGAGCATCTTCGAAAGAATAAAGTTGCTTCAGTTTCTTTTACGGTAATTATATGTCATTATCAAGAATTAACGGATCGTGGCCCAGGCGAGCAACTTGTTGGTCACTCCTGTTCTAAAGCACAGTTTTGCAGTTTTTAGGAGACTAATGTAGTGACTATATCTGCTTTCTGTCCCCCCAAGTGTGATTGCATGAAACCCATGGACACAGCATTGTACTGCTGAGCATCGGAATGGAGGAGACTAGCCGTGAAGCAGTTGCCACAGCGGTGCAGCGCGTGGCTGGAATGCTGCAGAGATCTGACCAGTTGGACAAAGTGGAGCAGTACCGAAGAAGAGAAGCCAGAAAGAAAGCCTCTGTCGAAGCGAGGCTTAAGGTGATGACATTATTTACAGTTGTCACTTGCCCTTTTCATCGTCGACCATTTTGGGGGCGCAAAAAGCCCGGCAAAATATTTTGACCTGTGAAAGTTTCTCCCACTTCCTATGTGGTAATGGTAGAGTATTGTACCCGTTTACATGTGCCTTGCAATTGGCTGTGGACCAGTTCAGGGTGTACCCTGCCTGTGGGGTAGGCTCCAGTAAAACTGCAACCCCAGTGAGGATAAGTGGTACAGATAGTGGATGGATGAGTGGATGGCATCACAAAAAAACATAAAGCCACGGAAAAAGCAAAACGGCAAATTCCTCAATGCATGCAAAGCAGAAGTTTCAGAAGATTTGCTGAAACAATCTTCTACAATCCCGTAGAAACATGCCACTTGAGTGCTTCCAGTGTATTTTGACGTGAGCAATGTTGCGCTTCAGGGTTCTGTTCACGATTTTCAGGCAGCCATCCAGTCTCAGCTAGACGGTGTCCGCACTGGACTTACTCAGCTGCACAGTGCTTTGCTTGACGTGAAGGACATCCAGAGCTCGCTGGCCGATGTGAGCAAGGACTGGAGGCAGAGTATCAACACCATAGAGAACCTGAAAGATGTCAAAGATGCGGTGGTTCAACATAGTCAGCTGGCCTCCGCTGTGGAAAACCTGAAGAACATTTTCTCAGGTAGGTCGGGCTGTAAGTGTGCGGTTGAAGTTGGATTGGGATACTTCAGGAGCAGAACAATAGATATCTCCCTGATCTCACCTTGTCTGTCGCTCATCCAGAACCCGCGCGCACCTCATGTTTCGTTTATGATACGCTTTGAGACGTTGTCATCTGGTGTGACCGCTGTCCAAACTCTTCTCTTGGCGCAGTCCCGGAAATTGTGGCGGAGACCCAGCAGCTGATCGAGCAGGCGCAGCTGCTTCAGGCCCACAGGAAGCTGATGGAACTGGAGAGCTCCCGAGATGACCTCATGTATGAGCAATATCGTATGGACAGCAAGAACACCAGCGACATGCATCTCATTTCCATCTATTTTGAAGACGTGAGTTTGAACCCTGGTTTGTATGTCAATTCGGTTGCCACAAACGCACCCTGAATGCCCAGCAATGCGCACAGCCTATGTTATTCTGTCCTCTTGGAGCCCGTTTGAAGCTTTTTTTTAAAAAAAAAATCACAGCCTACTTGCGATTTGCTATCACACAAAACACACAATGACAAGAATTACTCGCATGCGATAAATGCAACCCACGCTGTCTCTTTCCAATCAATGCTTTCCTTTCCAGGTTCAGCGGCTCTCGGATGAGCTTGCCAAGCAGTTGTGGATGGTTCTGCAGAGGGCCATGGCTACTGTCCGCCGTGACCCCACCATGTTAGTGTCAGTGGTTCGTATCATTGAGCGCGAGGAGAAAATCGACCGGCGCATGGTTGACCGTAAAAAGCAGACGGGCTTCATCCCGCCCGGACGACCCAAAAGATGGAAAGACAGAATGTTTGAGGTGAGAAAAAGAATGATTTCTTCAAGCGATTCCTCTGCTCGCCTCCCTCGAGGAGAGGGTTTGCGCTTGCAGTCTGCCCAAGCTTTGTTCCTCCAAAGCTATTGTCTGGCGCAGGTTTTGGAGGGCACCGTCAGTACCCGCATCGAGGGCACGCAGGCGGTGACGAGAGAGGCTGATAAAATGTGGCTTGTTCGACTTCTGGAGATAACGAGGAAATATGTTTTGGACGACCTCATTATTGTCAAGAACCTCATGGTTCAGTGCTTCCCGCCACATTACGACACCTTCAACAGGTATCGCATCAACGTTTTCCTCCTCACCTCTCACTTCCTGGAGTCTGCAACATAGAAACATTCCTCCAGGTTGCGTGACATAAACCTTTTTTTTTTTTTTTGGCGGGAAGGGCGGGGGGGTTCTTTCCACTCTGAATCAAATAGTCTGCCAGGCTTTCACATTTTGGAAAGAGGACACGAATCACTGCTAAGCTTGCCAGAAATGCAAATCAAACGCCACTTGGTTGGACCGGAATCTGCTATTGTTCTTTGCTAGAAAGCCGCATGTCCGTTTCTTTCAGGTTCTTCAGCCTTTACCACAATGCTGTTTCCACTCGTGTCCAAGAACTGGCATCTGAGGACTTAGAGGCCAATGAGATAGTGTCCATGTTAACCTGGGTCCTCAATACCTACAAGAGGTACTGTCCATGTCGCATGATGGGATGTTTACCCCTTAACTCATGACGTTTTCAGGGGACGGACTTCATTTTACATTTAGATCAGGTTTGATCCAGTTCCTGCCTCGGCTATGCTTTGATGCAATATTTTTGCTACGTTTTAGTTGATGAAAAAAATGGATGGTAGAAGTACAGTGATCCCTCGCTATATCACACTTCGTTTATCGCGGCTTCAGTACGTCACGTTTTTTTTTTTTTTTTAAGTACTTTATTCAGATGGCGAACAATGGCAAATGACTCCCGAGGTTTTGTCCACGCCTGTACGCATGATCGGTTCCCGGCGCAACATCGACCAATGACAGCACGAGCGGATTTATCCCGTGAGCCGATTGACTCTTAAGTCTCGTGGGCGTTTTTCGAAAAGCATTTTTCATGCTCTGTCCGATCTCGACAAGAATAGAAGCTGCATTTGCCCGTCGCGGAAAAGACATCTCGTCAACTGAGACTATTTTGAAGTTTCATTTTGTAGATTATTGACTGTAAATCGCATCACAACCAATGCAACGCTTGGCCTATTCAGCCAACATTTCCTCCGTACGAAAGAGTCCTCAAAGAAGCCGCGCATGCTCTCCAGTTACTACTACTACTTCCCTACTCAAAAGGGAAAGCATCCCATCCTGCCGGCATATTCCGCTCGCTTTGCAAGGGACCGCGCAATTGGAACTCACCCCAGCGTTCATCCGGCCGCCGGAGTGCTTGGAATCGCCGCCCTGCCGGATTTAATCAACCATTGTGCTCCTGTGTGCGTTTGGTAGCGCCGAGATGATGGGCCATCCGGAGCTCATCGCTGAGTGTGACATCAACCAGGTCGAGGCGCTGCTACCTCAGGATGTGGTGGATGACCTACTCAGCAAATATGTCCAGACTTTCACAGTAAGCAAGCGACTATTCAATTTGGCCTTTTTTTCCCCCTCCTCTCTTTCTTTTCTCAGCTACCGACAGTTTGTTGATTCCAAATGATGAAACATTGCACTTAGATCAAATACCTCTTGAATGGCAATGCGCGCGCCCTCTATGTGTCTCCAGTCAAATATTACCGGCTGGCTGAGGAAAGCTCTGGAAACGGACAAGAAGGACTGGCAGAAAGAAACGGAGCCTGAAGCCGATCAGGATGGCTACTACCAAACTACGCTGCCCGCCATTGTCTTTCAGGTACCGCACAGGCACATTCTTGCGCACATCCCGTACCTCAAGAATATGAGCGTGCCAAATGCTGTCCACGACGCTTTCTCATTTGTCACTCATCCTCTCGTGCCCTCCTTCGCCAGGTTAAAAATTCCAAATTACATCTCTTGAACATAAGATTGCATTACATTTCTCAGTCAGACTTTTGTACGTACTCCGCATCGTTGAATATTCGTCAAAGAGAACACATGTCAACAACTCAGCTATGTGTCATTGCGGCAAAAGTTGGAAAAAAAAAAGACGCCGTGGCATTGGTTATTTCCGGCCTCTGCAAAAAAAAAAAAAAAAAAAAAATGATCAGAACTCAGGGGCTGCACAGGAAACAGAAGCAGATTTTGGGATTGCTTTCTTTTTTACCAGTAATATTTGTCTAACCCACCCCCTTTTTTTGCTGTGTTTCATCGCTCTATGCTTTGTCAGATGTTTGAGCAGAACCTGCAAGTAGCTGCTCAGATCGATGGGGACTTTAAAGAGCAGGTTCTCAAACTCTGCCTGAAACAGATGAACTCATTCCTCATTCGGTAATCTGATGATTGTGACCCCGTCGCTGATTGTGTGTCAGTTCAGAGCTGGTTGTCGGATAAATACATGTTGTTGTTTTTTTTTTTTTTAATAGCCAGGATGTTGTAAAAAAGTGGCGACTTCAACAGTTTCCCCAATGCTAAGAGAGTTGTGCTTACTGTGCGTTAGGTACAGAGAAGAGGCCGTGGCCTATAAAGAGGAACATCTGAGAGATCGACAGCTGCCGCAGTGTTACGTGCAGTACATGATCGCCATCATCAACAATTGTCAGACATTCAAGTAAGTGCCAAGCTTGGTAGCTCGCTATTGTGACTGCGGAATTATTTTTGGTATGCAAGAAGGAGAGGTACCGCCGCTTGTGAGAAAAAGAAAGGTTTTCTTATCTCATTATTCTGAATAAGGCACATATGCGTATGAACATCACGTCTTGGGGGTCTTCCGGTCAGGTTTCAAGATGATGCCTAGCACTGTCGCATGGTGTTCCACGGGGCTCAATTCTGGGGCCTCTGCTGTTCTCCCTGTATCTGCTCCCTTTGGGTTCCATCTGAAGGAAGCCTGGTATTGTATTTCCTTCCGCGGCTATGCGGATGACTGTCAGGTCTTTGTCCCGCCGAGCAAAAAAGACGCTTTTCTCGTGGAGGCCACTTTGGTCCTGTCTGGAGGAAATCAAGATTCTTGAATTTCCATGAAAAAGAAATGATGGCCTCTGCTCCCAGTGGCCCTTGGACATGCCATCTTGCGGACTTGCATCCCCCTGGCTCCTTCTCTCAACAGTCTCTTCAACTCGGGCCTGACACTTGAGAGCAAATTGAAATTGAACCGGCAAATTGACGCCGTCGCCAAGTCCAGCCTCTCCTTTTTTTCCGAGCACTTTGAAACTGTTGAGTCACGCACAATTTCATGCAAGCAGCAATGCAACCAAACGCCTGACAACAAAGCGTATGAAGAAAAGCGGTTGAGATTGCACCACTCTCCGTGCCTTTATGTTATGTGTTGCGTTTATTATTTTACCTTATGTTAATTGTTTTGTTAAGCGCTTTGTTACAGCCACAGCTGTTGTGAAAGCACTTTATAAATCGGGATGTATTGTACCTTAACCGAGCAGTTCCTGTTGACTCATTTGCCAATTCATCCGTCAGGTCGGGTTAATAGCGTCGCCCACATGTCCACTGTGTTCTCTAGAGAGTCGGTCAACAGTTTAAAGAGAAAGTACTCTCGGTCCTCGGAGCCCACCGACAGCGACGCTGCCATCGAGAGGACACTCAACGAGGTGGCCAAGGAGGGATGTCAGTTCCTCTTGGACGAAGTCTTCTTGGACCTTGAGGTAGGAAAGTGACAAGTTGCATGTGACGAAAGTGTCCGCTTTCCGCATTCTCCTATGCAGAAGGCCTGTCATTTCTCACATCTCCACGTGAACCTGTCATTTCTAGCATCACCTCAATGAGCTTCTCACCAGGAAATGGCTGACGGGCTCTCATGCCGTGGACACAATCTGTGTGACGGTAGAGGACTACTTCAATGACTTTAACAAGATCAAGAAACCCTTCAATCAGGTAAGAGATAGATTAGTGTTTTTTTTTTGTTTGTTTTTTTTTTAGGCTCCATTGATGAAGTGCTCTCTTTTATCTCCTCAACCCCCGACGTACAATGTAAATGGGGACCTAAGGACAGGTTTGAACGCCGCTGATCTCGAGCGTGATGCTCTAACGTATATCTTCGGTTCCCCCACTAATGAGAGTAAAGATGCCGTTTTTCCTTGATTCCAAATGCCCATGTGCCATATGTGCAGGAAATGACGAGTGAAGCCCTTCGCAGGGTTGTGGTCGACTACATTAAGGCAGTGATGCAAAAGAGGATCACCTTTAAGAACGCTGATGAGAGGAGGGAAGGGGCTGATCGAATGATCAAAGAGGCCGATCAGTTCAAGTTCCTCTTCAGAAAACTGGCCGCTGTGAGTTCTCACATTGCCGTAGCCCACAAGTGCTTGGATACGTGACAAAAGGGCGACGAGTGAAACCTATGCCGGAGGTTTATACATACATACGGACGATAAAGATGACTGTGTTGCAGGGAGAAGACACAGATCGTCTATGTGGTGCCATTGTGGCCATTGCTGAAGTCTTCAAGCTGACTGACCCGACGCTGCTCTTCCTGGAGGTCACCACCCTGGTTTCCAAGTACCCCGACATCAGGTACCGGGGCTCCTTCTCAGTTGCTCTATTGTTGTCTTTTTTGTTTTTGTTTTTTGTTTTGTTTTTTTTAAGATGGACAGTGACTGAATTAGTCTCCCCTGACACCACCGCAGGGGCTGGTTTTGTTTTGTTTGTTTTCATGGGGGTCACCATTTGTAATCTGTCTGCTGGTCGGCGTGCAGTCCAAATCCAATGTAGACTTTGTACGCGCAAAGCAAAAACGATACAGGAGTGAAGAAGAGGGTACACACGCTGAAGAACAGATCTCAAATGTGACAAATTTGGTCACAGACTGCAAACAGTTTGTCCGCATCGCCATTTGCCAGCGGTCGGCTCATCCTTGTTTTCACGTCTGCGTTTCCGCCCAATCTGTTCCTTTTAAATGCTGAGGAGGAATCCAGTTGCGCGACGACCGATTGCTGTACTATATTCGGCATGTACTGTATGCTGTACTGTAATGTATGATTTACTCTCCCTTTAGGGAGGAGCATATCCAGGCGCTGCTCGCTGTGCGCGGCGACGCCAGCAGGGAAATGCGCCAGATGATCATCGGAACGCTCAGCGAGAACAAAGTATCTTACGGAGGAGTCACCCAGCCCATCTTCAAAGACATCACTGTTCCCACCATCACCATGACTACCATGACCACCATGACCTCCATGGCAACTGCAAAGCTGCTAAAATAAAGCCAATTTTACCATCCACCCCCCCACCCACCTAAAATAACCTGATTTTCACCTCCAGAGTCTAGCTTCTCTGTTTATTGCACCTTTCCGTTTGTTTGCTCGCTCTTTAATCACCATATGATCCCGGTTGTGCCCCAGAAAATTGTAAATGTTTCGTTGTAAAAAAATCTCTTTGCATATATGTAATGATTGGAAATGTATTCACCCTTGAGCATCCCGACCACATTCTTCATCTTTTTCTCTCCGTTTGCAAGTGAGGAGGTAACTTTCCATTTGACATTGGGTAGTACTAAAAAGATGGTCATCTGCCTTATTCAGTTTTCAGTTGCTTGGGTTGTCTTTGGCGTGCTACCGCGTTGGTGAGCCCTGCCATATAGTTTGTGTTCTGTTTGCAAAAATGTCTGATCCTCAAAACGATTTCCAAGTCAGTGACTTGACCAAGTGCTCGGAATAAATAATACAAAAGATGTTTGGCGAGAGTTTTTTTATTTTCTTTATTTTATGTTTCTTATGTCACGGTCTCCCAACACAACACTACCAAAAATGTGTAATTTCCTCATGTGTCGATCACTCACTCTTGTGGAGTAGACTGGGAAACTGCTCAACTCAGGTCTCGCACCAGCCGTCTCCAAAACGGAGGGGTATTTTTAATAGCTCTGTTGGATAGTACAAAGTATCCAATTTGAACATGCTGAATAGGTTTTAAAATCGGAAAAGAAACAGTAACCCACTCTCTGCGAGTGTCTCTTCTAAAAGTAACAGTATGAAATAGCCAATTTCGTTCGCACCCTTGTCCTTGCAATACCGATTGTGTCCAGTTGATGGCGGAGTTTTTCACCGCGTCAGACAAAACGAAGAAAAAAAAAGGGAAAAAAACCCCGCCGCACCGCAGATGCAGGCGAAGAAGACGCCGTAGCTGGACGATGCGACTAATCCACCAAATTACTCACTGTGGCAAGAGGAAGCCCGTTTAGCTTTTGGGAAGGCCTCACAAGGAATTGCGTGTCACTTCTGCGTATTGTCCGACGTTTTACATCGCCGAATCTGTTTTAGGTAAGACCGCTTGAACAGTGCTCATATGTTGATGTTTACAACCGTGCGGCGCTAAGCTAGCTTCCAGGCACAACACATCAAGTAGCCCCGAAGCTAACCGGCCTCGACCACTTGGCTAATTCACTTTGATCCTGTTTTAGTGACTCGCAAGGTTGAATCATGCCGCAGGTAGGTGATCGACCAGGGGAGCCCTTCGCCAATTGATGGATTTGTCAGGTCCAAGCGGCCGCAGAAAGCAAACTGAACCCGTCAATTCTTCACAGTGTACAGGGAAGTCGCTGTCGCGTTTATGCGTAACCAGGTCCTGAAGATATCTTTACAGTATATATATATATATATATATATATTGTGTGTGTGTGTGTGTGTGGAAAAGAATATTTTATAACCGAAACATATGCGTGTGTAAATTAAGCAAATGAATGAAGTCTCCAAATTCCACGCAATTGAGACCGGACTCTCATGCAGTGCAGCAAAACACAAATACATTCATTGACAACCAGCTGTACAATGTAATGCGCACAAATCGACATGAAACATACAAGTAAAAGCATAATGCAATTGCTTCAAAGAGAGAAAATCTTCTCCCGGCCAAACGCTCCGTCACCCAATCCACCACGGCACTTTGCATACAGGAGGCGCAGAGAGCAACATTGCCCCCTGTTGCACATGCACTTTGAAGCTTGTCTGTTAGTTGTTGAGAAAGGAGCAAAATATGGAAGTCTCCTTTGACTTTTACAAGTATCAATGACGCAATCGGAGCGTGCATGACAAGAGTCACCTTTGCGATATGCCGAGTGGGAAAACTTGTTTGCTTTCACTTGGCCAAGACTTTGCCTGGCGGCAAGCGACGCACATCCAGAAAGAGCGGTTCAAATATTTTTCTGCCACTTAACTTTTTTGGCAGCGGGATGCAATTCAGCTCCACGTTGGGAAGCTCTCATTCGCAGCAGTTCATGTATCGAGGTGTGAATAAAGGATAGTATCGAAGCTCGATAGATACTCACCTGGCATCGGTGCAACTGGAGCGACTTTGGACAAGATGCCATCGGATGTTTTACTTCCTGACCAAAAATTGACATGCCGTGCCGATTCCCTCGCCCGCTCCCCTGACGTCTATCATTTTCCCTCCTAGGTTCCCCCGGCCTGCTCTTCGGCCACTCACTATGGTGGACTACTACCAGATTCTCGGAGTACGGAGAGATGCGTCTGCAGATGACATCAAGAAATCGTTAGTTGATCACTTTTACACTTCTACGTGTGTAGTCTACCACTGTGCTTGTCAAATAAAGTGAAAAGGTTGGGACGTTTAGTGAAATGGTTCCATTGCAAAACATGCAAAGGCAAACCAATGTTTTGGACGACGCGCTTCAAGTAGGCACGGCTCGATATTAGAACCTATCGGTTGCAAAACTGTTGCCATATCGCTCGGTCGCATTTTCGCGACATTGGCTTCAAACAAATGGAAACATTTGGGTGGAAGCCCCTTAGATGGGAGTATCAGATCAAAGTAGGTTGTTCGCCGCACCGACTTTCATAAGCATGAAACATTGCGGGTCGAGGCCATTTCGAAGTGCGAATCCCCCGTGTCTGAAGTGCCCGGAGCCGCTCCCCAGAATGGTTTTCGCGATTCCCTTGGTGGAACGCACCGCGCCCGTCGGACCCTTTGCTTCAATGGCGACGTTGGAGTTCCTCGTAGCCAAGTAACAAAGGGGAGCCGTCTGATTGTGCCGCTTACCTTTCGCAGGTACAGAAAACTGGCCCTACGGTGGCACCCCGATAAGAACCCAGAAAACAAAGAAGAGGCCGAGAAGAAATTCAAGGAGCTCTCAGAGGCTTATGAGGTCCTGTCCGATGGTTTGTAACGTCCTGAAACTTGCCAATGTGTACATTGATCGACGTCATTGGTGTGCTCTGAACGGATCATAATTGTTTGCAAATTGGTGAGCCGCGGGGTGTTTGTTTGTTTTTTCTGCCCTATCAGTGAACAAGAGGAGCACGTATGATCTGTATGGCAAAGACGGACTGACGGGGGGTGCCCGCGGGCGAGGTAATGTGCGCAGTTGACACAAAAGGACCCCCAAAAAGGTGTCCCGCTCATCAAAAGTTCACTTTCACAAAAGCAAAGCGGAGCGAGTCCAACGCCCCCAGCGGAATTTGTTTTTGCATTTGAGTCGTTAACTCCACCCCCCCTCCCCCCCTCCCCAAGAATGTTGACAACAAATGGTTTGAATAAATGTGTTCCCAGGGAGTCACTTCCACAACGGAGATCATTTCCATGAAGGCTTCACATTCCGCAACCCGGAAGATGTGTTCAGGGAGTTCTTTGGAGGCAGGGACCCGTTCGCAGACCTTTTCGGTAAGGCCGTTTGTCTTTGGGTACAAAACCTGTCGACTCACTGACACCCGCCTCTTGCTCTTCAAGGTGCCGATCCATTTAGCGACGATCCTTTTTTTGGCAACGCCCGACGTCACCAAAGCCGGGCGAGTCGAAGTCGGACAGGGGGCTCATTTCTGGGGGGCTTTGTCGGTTTTCCTCCCTTTGGTGCTGGCTTCTCACCTTTCGATCCAGGTAAGAAACCAACACGAAAAGCGCAATGGAATTATAGCGAGGCTTTTTTTTAAATGTATGTTTTGTTTTTTTCCTCCCCCAAGGCTTTGGTTCGTTTGGCTCCATGAGCAGCATGGGTCACATGGGTCACATGGGTCACCTGGGTCACCTGACCACCATGGGCAGTCTGGGAGGCGGGGGCTTCACCTCTTTCTCCAGCAGCTCCTTTGGGGGAGGCGGCGGCGGAGGCATGGGTAACTTTCGATCTGTGTCCACCTCCACCAAAATCATCAATGGCAGGAAGATCACCACGAAAAGGTAAGCCGCTCAATCCCGTCTCGTGCCCTTCCTTTTTCTTGACATATCATCGCGGGGTCATGTCCGACAAACAAAAACGCGCGTTTTGATTACGCGGATTCCTCGGCGAACCAAAAATGGACCGCGGTGAAATCACCGCTGACCAAAGAGAACAGAAAGGCTCATTCGTCTTACTTGAGCAAAACACATCGGAACGCTTCCCGAGACTGACGAAACGAAAGTCGAGCGTTTTGGAAGGGATGCGCTTCGACACGTGGACGCAGCATTTTCGGAAAAAAATGGACGTGTTCTCCTTTTCTAGGACCGTCGAGAACGGTCAAGAGCGGGTCGAAGTGGAGGAGGACGGCCAGCTGAGGTCACTGACCATCAACGGCAAAGAGCAGCTGCTGCGACTGGAACACAAGTAATGAACCAAAAGTTACCTCAACACAAAGCTACCAACAAACTTGAGCTCGAAACGCGACGTCGGCGGCAACAAAAAGCAACAAAGAATTGTAATCATAATGTGACAGGTTTCTTTTTGGTTTTGGTTTTTGTTTGGATGTACGTACTCGAGTTGCGTTTCTTTCCGTTGACGGCCTCTTCCGCCAGACTTTGTTCTCTGACGCTTAACATCAGTGGATTGGGGCGGCGACGGCGTGCTTTGTCGCAGCGCTTCCCTCGTGAAACCGACCTTGAATTTTGGCTTAAGGTTGCTACGGACGCTTCAGGGTGTGGGACCGCAACATTACTCAGAGCCCTCTCTTCCAGTAGTTTATCTGGTGGCTCCTTGGGAGGTGTCACACGGCATTCCCAAAAAAAAAAAAAAAAAAAAAAGTCTGCTTTCCTTATAAATATGAGAAAAGGCTCAAATGGAAGAATATAATGTGGGTAGACAGCATCAATGCATCATCCCCTCTCTGTTTATTGCTGGTCTAACTTGTTCTTAATTTTTTTTTTTTTATGATTCCAACGCTGGTATATTGTCATTTGTATGTTTTGTTTATTTAATGATGCACGTATACCTGTTGAATGTTGAGTCTTAATGTTAAAGCTGCATTGTGATGCACAAATAACTTGAGTCATTCTATAAATTATGATGTATATGAATTCACAAGTTCAGTGTACTTTGTAAACCAATAAATTTCCGTTTCATTCCACTCTGTGGTCCCAAAGTTGTCTCTTTCCTCTCACGAAAACCATCGACGGCTTCATCGCAACCATTTTCGGAAGGATTCGTCGGTAGCTTGCTTTGATTTGGGGAGCGTGTCTTGCAGAGGGGACTCAAAAGGTGCTTGGTGCTTGAACGTTGCCCTCTTTAACACTCGCTTGAACAAGAATTGAAGAAACTATTGCTCTGAGGTGACTGCTGTCAGAAGTTGGTTTGTTACGTACGAGTCGGAAGTGGAGGAAACATCTTTGTGGTTTCGCTGGTTGTCCGAGGGAAGACGTCGCTCCAAAGTGGCCCGCCACACAAGAGCAGTTTTGACTCCTCTGCTCCAGCGCTCTTTTCCAAACAGGAGCGCCACGGTGCTGTCCTTGGTGCTGAAGGCAACTCTCCCTCCTCCCCCTCCCCACTCTCTGTCTCTCTCTCTCTCTCTCTCTCTCTCTCTCTCTCTCTCTCTCTCTCTCTCGCTCTCTCTCTCTCCCTCTCTGATCCGTTTAGCCGTTCTTACACGGGACTTCCCTTTTCCCTCCCTGTTTGTAGTTGTGTGGAGGTTTCCTCCTGTAGGCTCGAGAGACGCCTTCCTTGATGCCGGCCAGCCTGAACTGTTCAAGCTCGCCTTAACTTTGCAGCCGCAATGGGGATCTTCGGCACCGCGTCCCGTGGGCTCCATCGATCGACACGGTGTTGAAAATCCGAGCCAACTCGGGTGGCTGCTATGGTGGGACCTCCCGGAAGCAGCAGAGTTCGACTTCAAGAGTTATTCGGCAAAATCCATACAGGTCTGCTCCTCTCGAGTTTCTTTGATTCATGACAACGCGACTTTTCAGATCTTTCCTCGGAAACAATTTCTTACTTATGTAAATCCGATTTGAGCGGGGGGTGGGGTGGGGTGCGCAGCAGGGGCTATTTTGTTATTCCGGAACCGAAAATGTTTTTGAATGACTCCGAGATCCTTTTAGTCTGCGCTTTTTAAATTTGAGGCACTCAGGTGCATAATCTGGGGATAAGCCGCCGCGCGCCTAATCTCCTGACGATGAATTAGAAACAAACGCTCTAGATTTGAATTCTGGCTTCCGAATAAGATGCTTCCGACCTGGAAAATGTTTGAAGGGGTTGGAAAATGGCATACGCTTCAAAAAATCTTGCGCGTTGGTTTTGGATTGCATGCGGGTGCCTTGTTGATGTGTCTGCTGCTGGTGGCGTTTCGCCCCGCGGTACATTCTAAAGAAAATGCAACGGGTCAAGACAATCAAGAGATGTTCCGAGAAAAAAAAAAGTGTCTCCCCGCAGTCAAATATGGATGGATTTGGTACACTGAAAATGGCGTTGAATTTTATTTTGTCAAGTGGCTGCACGCATTAGAATCATCCATTTCGACGTATCGTCGACTTCGAAAAAAACGTATCTGGATCCAGACGATTTTAGTTTGCGCAACCGCTTGCCAAAATAAAATGCAGCCAATTCAACGCACGTTTTTTTTTTCTCGGTGTACTTTTAAACGTGTTCTCTTTTTCTAATATAGATTTTGGGTCGCTGATTATGTCACGTATTTCAAGAAAAGGCCCTCGGCATAGTCTAGTCATTGCACGGAGCCATTCACCGCTATACTGTAGTTCCCTTTGCAAATCGGAGTCGGTTTTACTTCAAATTGCACTTTACAGGCCACACTTGAAAAATGAAAGCCAATTGTTCACAACGGTCTTATATTTGCTGAAAATATTCTCTTTTCTTCAAGTCAGATTGCTCCATTCAAAACAAAAAAAACCTTTTTTTTCTGGGGGGGTGTCACCTCTCCAATGTCCGCAATACTCACGCGAGTATTAAAACTGTCAATGGTCGTTCAGCAGAGACCCACGTCTCGGAATGAGGATCTCAGCCATCAGTGAAATGATTTGGGATGGGGCGACCGAATCGAACTTTTTGGAGTGAGGTTGCAGTTTCGCATGCCGACATGGTCGTGTGTCCTCCGAGTGTCCCGAGAGAAGATAGACAGACTATAATTACCTCGGGCAGACTTGAGCTCAGGCAGACGAAGGCTAATGCCCCCGCGAGGATTTGTGCTAGCGCCTTATACAAATCAGATGAAGGTCCCGCTGTCAAAGGACATCCAATGGCAAAAGAAGCCCTCGCGGTCCAAACCACCCGACTGCTTTTCCGCAGAAGGGGAAAACCGAACAAAACCGAAAGGGTACCGTTGACTTTTTGTAGCGCGCTCATTTCAAGACGTTGAATTCCAGAACACGATGATGGTCCTGCCATTTCGAAATGCGTTGACATGGCCAAAAGGGTTTTCTATCTCCCATTCTTGTTGTTATGTGAATCCTCTTTGGAATTGAAAAAACATAACCAAAAAAACAACCACAACTTTGTTTTAATTTTACTCACTGAACGGAATGAGAAATGATCTGGGTGTGGATTTGGAATTGCTTCTTCTTCACATGTACAACGGTCTCGGGACCGCACTGTTGTTCTCGCCCAACCGAAAGGTTTCGGTCCAACAACTCAGCAAATTGTTTCGGGGCAAACGACGTGCTTGCTTTGTCTACAATTGTTTTGGGCTTCATTTTTTTGATTGGATTTTTTTTTTACAGCGAGGCATCACCGGAGCGTTTTTCGTTGGCGATTTTCAAAAGGTGCAAATCGTCTCGACGGCTTCACCTCGATCCTTAACACGATCTGTCGTGCGATTGGCCGTTTGCTGCGAAAGCGACCGTTCGGTGCGAACGGCAAAAAATCGAAATGCAACCGAGAGGGAAAGGGTCCAATGAAATTTGCCCTCTGTCCATTGTGTCGCCGCTCGACGGCGATCGCACTCGATGCGCTTCGCTGCGACGAGCCTAACTTTCCCTTTGCCCTTGTCGCAGCCATGGATGGAAGCGGAAGAAGTTGTCGTCTGTGAAAAGCCCTCGGCGGGCCCGGCCCACGTTTGCGGTCGTCCGCGGCGGTGAGCGCAAGCATGACGGACAAAGCGCTGTACGGTACGCCCAAAAGCGCCGGTCGGCCCCCGGCGGTGCCGGTGCTGCCCCCGGAGCCCATCGACATCATCCGCGTCAAGGCTCGCTCTCGGAGGGTCAGGCTCAACGTGGGAGGTCTGACCCACGAGGTCTTGTGGCGAACGCTGGACCGCCTGCCCAGGACCCGCCTGGGGCAGCTGCGGGACTGCAACACCCACGAGTCGCTGCTGGAGGTGTGCGACGACTACAGCCTCTCCGAGAACGAGTATTTCTTCGACCGCCACCCCGTGGCCTTCTCCTCCATTCTCAACTTCTACCGAACCGGCAAGCTGCACATGATGGAGGAGATGTGCGCCCTGTCTTTCGGCCAGGAGCTGGACTACTGGGGCATCGACGAGATCTACCTGGAGTCCTGCTGCCAGGCCCGCTACCACCAGAAGAAAGAGCAGATGAACGAGGAGCTGAGGAGGGAGGCGGAGACCCTGAGAGAAAAGGAAGGCGAGCGGGAGGAGGAGGAGCTGGGCTGCTGTCCTGACCAGAGGCAGAAGCTGTGGGATCTGCTGGAGAAACCCAGCTCTTCGGTGCCGGCAAAGGTAACGCCCGCCGCCGCCGCCGCCGCCCATTCCGGGCCTCGGTCGGGCTTTTTACTCACGAAAGCCGCTTCATGGACAGGCTCGCTATTTGCCGCGTTCCCGACGCTCATTTGGTCACCGGGTACGCTTGATATCGGCACATCGCGGCTGGGTAACCGGATCGCAAAACAGTCATTGCTCTCTATCCCCATTCGTCGCAAAACCAGTCTCCATGTTTTGACAAAATATTCACCGCATCCGCACCCAGAAGGGATGCCGCTGGCCGCGCTAGAATTTGCTGGGGAAGTGAAGCCGTGCCGTGTGGCCGCATGGCTCCGGAACCCTGTGCCTGCTTTTTGTCCGGTGGCCATCTGCCTTAACCAGTCCAAGCGAGGCGAAGGTAAAACAATTCCCAAAAAAAATCATCATAAAATAAGTTTCAACTGCATGTTAGGTGCGATATGAAACGCGAGTTAGCGGCACATGCGTAAGTTGAGCAACCAACCGGCTCATTTCTAAATATATGGCAGATCTATTTCCGAACGGTGGGGTCAGCAGGAGGGAAGCTTCTTAGGCCACTTCCTGTGTGTCACTCAGCTCCTCGCCAATAAGTGAGCCTGCTCTGAGCGTCAGAGTACAGCTGATTAGATGCAAGTATTAGGTGCGAGACACACACACACACACACACACACACACACACACACACACACACACACACACACACACGCACACCCAAGCGCACAGTTTTCGACACGACTCCTTCTACCAATTGTAAGTTTTCCAAGAACACCGATTAAATGCATGCACATGGTCTTCTTTCGGTCAGTCCGATGGGATTTAGCCGCTTTCAATGTCCCGATCAAGCCTTTGCTCTCCAACTTGATGTGTCTCGTCAACGGAGCCTCGCGTGAATTAGCGGGCAAAGTTTGGAGGTCGGATGGCCCCGCTGACACGACGCTATCCCGACAGCTACGGTGGCTTGGGTAAAATGTCATGTCAAAGGACACTGTGTATTGAAACAACAGGGAACTCCGAACCAGACCAGAGCGGCCGAGGGAGCTGATGGCTAGATAAAGAGGGGGGGGTGCTGTCGGCTCCCTCGGCCGCTCTGGTCTGGTTTGGAGTTCCCCGGCTTGGTTCTGCCTTTGGCTGCTGTCACGGGGTCACATTTAGCCAACCGCCACCGTGACTTTCAACGTCATTCACGGAGCGGTCGCATTCGGAGCAAGAAATATGATTCTTGGTGGAAATGACAAAAATAACTGTGGACGCCCGCTTTTCGCTGGGGATAGGGACTAGGGACCGGGCCGTCCCGTGGAAAATGAAAATCCAGCTGGCGTCGGCAGCCACGATAAACGCATTTACTTGATCGTTTTCAATCCCCTCAAAAATGTTGGATCAACTGCTACGAAGCATTTTTCATGAAAACTTTTCCAGAATTATTATTATTATTATTATTATTATTATTTTTTTGGTGCTGATGGTGTGTGAGCCAATGGGGATTGATTACACAGACATCAGTTATGACTCTGCTATGCTGGCGCCGGAGCCTATCACAGCCGGTTACACCCTCGACCGGTCTCCGGTCACTCGCACGGCCCATCAAGGGACAAACAACCATTCGTAGTCGTGAACGGATCCCACGCTGCCCGCGCACAAGTCAGGCGACGAGACCACTGCAGCCTCAGCGACTATCATCCTCATAATGCATATATGTAGATATATAACAATGCAACATGGCTGCCGAGATGGCTGTATTTGATTATTTTTTTGATACATTTTTGATTCGTATTTGAAGAAAAAAAAAAAAACGCGACACACCGCAGCCGCAAAATTTGAAGGGCGGCGTGGCGAGGGATCACCGTATGATGGACACGGTGTTCCAGAGCCACCTCGGCAAGGGCCATTTTCTTCTCCTCGCGATCCATTGTGCCGTCAACGTTATTCGAAACGCCAGTCACGACGCCCGGTTGAATGAAGGCGCGTTCTGAGAGGTGGCGGAGAGTCGGCGCCACACCAATGATAGCACAAGCAACATGAGCTCGTCGCCGTCCGATGAAAAGCCACGGTACTTGGCGCTCCAATATCGACATGGGAAGTTAATGATTTGCACAGCGCCGATCCATTTTAGCGCCACTCCGCCGCTTGCCAATCACGTCTCGCTGCAGAATTCAACTCTTGTCGCGTTGGTACCCATCTTCCGCCGTCAGATTGAAGGTGAGGTTACGCAAGTGTTGTTGTTTTGACCACCAAAGTGTTGCGCTTCGTCCATTTTTGCCATTTCAGGCTTCATCCGGCGCCACTCGAGGTCGTCGGTGGTCACGCCTCAACTTGGTGACCATCTTTTCACTTGATAAGCTGAAGGTCAAGTACTGCGCGGACGGAGTTGAGTCTGACTCTGGCTCATCCGATCGCCGCCGGTGCGAATAGACCGGCCGCCAGGCTTTTGCAAAGCAACCCTCACGTCCGGCGGGAGGCACGCAAATCTCTTCAGCAAAACGCTCAATGCATGCGTTTTCCTCACAGAGTCCCTGTTTTTGGAAAGAAGGGTTTTCTGTCGAAAGCCGTTCGGTCATACACGCGCCATGTTTGATTCTTCCCGTCGGCGGGGGAAAGAATGAGTAACCACTTCTAACAGCTTTCTATCCTCGCTATAGATAGCAAGACAATCCTATTACAATTATCCAGAAATGTCCGAGCAAAGGCTGCGCTGAGAGACTGCGCCCGCCCGCGCCAGCTTATGGCGCCTCACCCTTCCAGCTGGAGTTCATTTGAACAGCGCGTCGTTTATGCTTCGGAGCTCATTTCCATACCGTTTATTCTTATTCGCTTGTGGAATCACCCGACTCTGTTTTCACGACGAATACTTCTTTGATGTGGCGAGGTTACGTTCATGAGGACAGGCAGATAACTGTCGATCCCAAAGGGGGAGGGGAAAAAAAACGGTTGAAAAGAGCAAATGGAAGAGAGACAGGACACAGACGGACACGTTGGAAGGCCCGCAACTTGTATTTTTAATCCGTTCACTTGGAATGAAATACCGGTTGGGGACGGTTAAAGGTTACGTTTGTGTTTATCAGACCACCGTCGGTGGTCTGTTACGCTTTCAGCGAGTTTTGGGACAACGTTGGGATATGAAAAGAAATCAGAATGGCTCTATCGGCCTGCATTTTCTAGGTTCTATTTATTTGAACGGAGTTTGACTCAGCAAACAAACAAACAAAAAGCTTCCTTCGGTTCTTATTTTCATCTTGCCCATTTAAAATCAATTCCGTGTTCATTTCCTTCCGATTCCCGAATGCAGAATTGAATCGTCATTCGATTCATCTGGCTCATTTGGACATTTTTGTCATTGGCATCTCAATCTTAGCAGATAATTGCCAGTTGGACTTGACTTTGGAGTCAGCCAATCCTCCACGAAGCGTTTCCAGTTGGTCCGGATTGCCGCTGCTCACCTCTCGACGGGTACTCGCGAGAGGAAGCGCATACCGTAACTCCTCCTCTGGCATCCCTTCACTGGCTACTATTTGTTTTCCAAGGTGGAAACTGCCCGGGCCCGAGCTTCCCTCTCGGAGCTCCCTGCCCGGCTGCCTCTCGCTAGGAGAGTTACAAAGCGGCGGCTCCGAGGGGACGGCGCCTTTTCCGTGGCCGCTCCCGCTCTTTGGAAGGAACGTTCTAGGCCAGCCCCCTCGCCTGCCCCTCTCTCAAACTCGTCCTTTTTATTCAATACACTTTGATTTGGTAAAATGGATTTCTTGAAAAGGAAATGCTGTTGTGTGCGAACCAAAGCAAACTAACATCGGGTCTCCCCCCCCCCCCGGTCTTTCAGATCCTGGCGATGATCTCCATCCTCTTCATCGTTATTTCCACCATTTCCTTGTCACTCAACACCTTGCCGGAGCTGCAGGTCGTGGATGAATTTGGCCAGTTTAACGACAACCCGAGCCTGGCCCACGTGGAGGCGGTGTGCATCGCCTGGTTCACCATGGAGTACCTGTTGCGCCTGCTGTCGGCGCCCAACAAGTGGAATTTCCTCAAAGCGCCGCTGAACATCATCGATTTGCTGGCCATACTGCCTTACTACGTGACTCTGTGCCTCACCGAGTCCAACAAGAACGTCATGCAGTTCCAGAACGTGCGGCGCGTGGTCCAAATTTTCCGCATCATGAGGATTCTGAGGATCCTGAAATTGGCCAGGCACTCCACGGGGCTGCAGTCTCTGGGCTTCACCTTGCGCAGAAGCTACAACGAATTGGGCCTGTTAATTCTCTTCCTGGCCATGGGCATCATGATCTTCTCCAGTTTGGTCTTCTTTGCCGAGAAAGACGAGGATTCCACCAAGTTCACCAGCATCCCCGCCTCGTTCTGGTGGGCTACCATCACCATGACCACCGTGGGATACGGAGACATCTACCCTCAAACCTTGCTGGGCAAGATCGTCGGCGGGCTCTGCTGCATCGCCGGCGTCTTGGTCATCGCCCTCCCCATCCCCATCATCGTCAACAACTTCTCCGAGTTCTATCGCGAGCAGAAGAGGCAGGAGAAGGCCATCAAGAGGAGGGAGGCCCTGGAACGAGCCAAGCGAAGCGGAAGTATCGTTTCCATCAGTCCCAAAGGGGCTTTTGCGCGAAACATGGAACTCACGGACGTGCTGATCGAAAAGAGGGACGACGCCAAGTGTCCGGCCGACAACCACTTATCGCCGAGCCGCTGGAGCTACCACAAGCGCTACTCCAACGCAGATTTGGGCAGCCCCGGCCAGTCCAAAGGCCCGGCCGCCTACCGGGAAGTGGCTCGAGTCGGCTCGCCCGACTGTCCCCCGCCCTTGACCCACAAAGGCGGCCCTCAACCCCTCGGAGCCAAGGCGTCGGAATGTGCCCATGACAAGGCCGCGCCGGCAAAACTCATCGAAGAGGAGCAGGAGGTGAATGCATCGCCCCCCGCCCCGATCCAAGAAACGGCCGAGGATTTTTCGGCAGAAAGCCGAGAAAAAGGTTCGCGGGTTCCCGGTGTCGGAGGTCGACAAAGCGGCACCGCTCGACAGCTCTGCGCTCCCCCTCCCTTGGATCTGAGTCGCATCGGCGCCGCGGAGCTAAACCGGAGCGCTGACGGCAGCCGCAGCTCCTCGGCAGATGGCAGCGGGCTGCAAAAGACCACCGACCGCAAGCTCAGCCCCGGACGGCAAGAGACGAAGTCGCCTCGGCTGCCGTCGCCGTCCCGATCCATTGGTCCCGGCGACTCTCCGGGGGAAGGCGAGGGCTCGGCGGCCAAGAGATTAGGAGAGGGTGAAGGGCAGCTCACGGGCTTAAGCCACCAGGGGAAGAATCACACGGAGAGCTCCGCCGTCGGCTCGGGCGGCCGCTCCGGCCCCCCGGGGAAGGCCAACCTCCTCAACTGTTCTCAGGAGCTGCTAACTCTGGACGGAGGGGCAAGGGAGGCGCCATCGCAGGGCGGTGACAGACAAGAAAACCACATACCGCTTGCGAGTCTGTCGCCCTCCCATGAAACCAGCATGTGAGCCCCGATTCCACCCGAGCGCTCGGCCTCCTGAAACCGACCATCATCCGCTCGCTCTTTGGACAGGGATGAACTTGCGTCCCGTCCCTCAAGACGCGACCACGAAGGCCCATTGCCTGATGGAGTTGTATCTCTGGATGCGAGGGGCGTCGCTCACCCAAGACACGCTTCTCTTTCATTTGACGCCGAGAATCCCCATCGACCGGCGATGACTCGCGTGAGCGAACACAACCTTGAGCAAAAACTTGAAGACATTTTTCAAAAACGGTGTCTTTTGCAATACGGCAAAATCTAGGCCAGGGGTGCCCGCGGACTGGTCCCGAGTCGATCGCCAGGGCTGTCGGGGGAAATGGCGGATCAAAAAAACCCCAAAACAAAACAGATTTGTGTGTCTGTGTGCGTGTCCTTCAGATGATTTATTTTTGTGTGAGTGCACAATGCACATCCTATCAGTTTAACCCAAAACAAAACAGTGTCTATGTGCGTGTGATCTATTTTGTGTGAGTGCACAATGCACATCCTATCAGTTTCACCCATAAAGTATCAAAATCAAATTTAAAAAAAGCGGGTGACCTTTATCTATGGTGGCGCATGATCTGCACCGCCGTAAGTGGTTAGCGGTCAGCAGTCTGCAATTGCCATATATCTAGGGTGCGCGTCAGTGTTTTTCTTGGATGCTTGTACGGCATTCTGTTTTCCCTCCCCCTTTTTTTTTTTTTATAATAGCTAAAAAAAAAAAACTGACTGAAAGGGGACGAATGAGGAACAGCATGTCGTTGTTTTTGCCGTTTGTTCACACGAAGGGACAATTTGAGAGGAGCAACAATTCATCGTGTATTGGAAGTGCATCGGCCAAATCGCCGGCGTCACAAAAAGTACCACTACGGAGGGAATCGTTCAACTCGGCCTGAGTCGCAGGTCATAAAGAGTCAGAACGAATCGAGGGGCCTTGACGCCTTCCGTAGACAAGACATTTGCCCACCACTTACTCACGCAAAAGTAAGCGCACTTGTGCATGCGCCCAAACAATTTGGTCTCTATGAGACTTGTGCATGCCTTTCAATCGAATCGTCTTTATTGTACATTCGCCGAGGTTGTCATTCCGGTTTTGATCCCCGTTGGCAATTCTAGCCGCTGACATCTGAACCATCGGGAGATCAAAGGGGCCCAGAAACCCCGGCGGCAGACGCAGCGCTCTGCCCACAGTTTGCTTCCCGCCACTGCAAACAGGAGACCAGAGTGTCTCTTTTCTCATCTATCATTCTGTCTCACGCCCAAGTACCGATGCCAGAGTCGATCCGAGGTGCTAACCGAGGCCGCAGCACGTAGCGCAGCACGTGATGATTGGATTACTCCGACTGCGTGTGCGCGCGCGTGAGTTTTGGGGTATTTTTACTGTGAAAGATGACCGCACATTTTTGATGTGTTGTGCGTTCAAATGAATGCATGGCTGACATTGGATCGATCAGATTGATTTGTCTGTACCAAACGACTTGCAGGGGTGTCAAACTCATTTTTGTCGCAGGGCGCGCTCTCGCTACCGTTACGACGGTGAAACCGGCATCAAAATGGACATGTTTGATTTGCTTTTGAGGGCCGCATCGAATGATGTGGCGGGCCAGATCCGCCCCCCGGGCCTCGTGTTTGACACCCGCCACTTTGAGAGAAAATAGAGTTTGAGAACGGGTACCGACAAAAGAAAACACCAACTGCGTATGTACACCCAAACCAAGTTGAGAGAGTGTCCCGTGATTTTTTTTCTGTCACATGAACTGTGTATTTTTTTTTTGTCTTTTTTTCTTTTTTTTTTTTCTAAAAGACAATGGCGCTGCATTTTCTTGTTGACATGGAGATCTACTTAAGTTTTTTCTGTCACATGAACTGTGTATTTTTCTTTTGTCTTTTTTTTTTTTTTCTAAAAGACAATGCCGCTGCATTTTCTTGTTGACATGGAGATCTACTTAAACATGGGTGCCTTTTCATAAATAGACAATTTATGAGAAGGTGGAAGAAAAAAAAACAAACCGTATCCAAGGAGCAGAGTTCTTTGGTTGTATTTCTTGTTCAACGGACACATCGTGATGAGATGCGAGTCATCTGGCCGGGTTGGACTTTGTGGCACGGTACTTCACGTCAGTCACCTCATTGTGACTCAACTTGTAACACGGCCTGCAGTTTGAACCTCACCGTGCTGCCATTTCACACTGATTTCCTCCGCGTTTGCTGTGTATGCAATATACACTGTGCATATATGACTCCAGGATTGCTGGATTCCATTCGACTTTGGGCGATTGTGGCATCATAAATCACAAAATTAACCCATGACCCATAACGACTGTGCAAAAGATGCAGCCGTATTCAGTTGGCTACGTAAGTCCTGCTGCGGTCTCGTTTAAGGCAAACGTGTACACAAGCGCATTTGCCACTTGGACTGCTATCATCATCCTCGAAATATTGCAATTGGCGTGAAAACCACAAAAGCGTCTCCCCTCCCCCGTTTTTCTGGTTCCCAACAGTTATTGTTTTTTGTGAGGTTCATCATCATCATCATCAATCTACTTGAACCGAATTGTAACAATTAGACAGCTGCATTGCTTGAGACTCAACCGATACCTAGTGAATAGTGACTTTTCATTCATTGACTGAAACATGCAAAATAAATGAATGTGTCTGGATGACCTAAGACTGTCTGGTGTGTATTTCGTGGCTATACTTCATAGAAAGCTCCAGAAGTTTCGCCGAATGCCTCATTTCCTTAAGTACTGTATTTATAATGCTTGCTCCATAATGACGCGAACAAGAATTTGATTTTTACCATTTAAAACAAATCTGAGATGCAAGTAAACTTTTTTTTTTTTGGTTTTGACTCTGAATCTTGCAAGAACATTGCAGGAGAGGGGTTGGGGGGGTGGGGGCCTTCGGACTGCTCTGTGCCTACTAACGCCCGTGGGTCCAGCCGTGGTCAAAGCAGTTAGCTTGTGATTTTTGTCGAGTCGTGGAGCTCACTTTTTTTGTTGTTGATGTTTTCGTCCTTTATATTGCTAACAGGATTTTAGTCTCAGGGTGAGGAAATGCGGTTCGTTTAACGGATGGACGGATGGCGGCAAGTACAGTATTTTGCATAATTACTTCGACAATTGAAAAGATGAATATCGAAGAAGGCACAAGTTTTTTTTTGTGTGTGTTGTTTTTTTTCTCACACACACACCGCCACCACCACCACCACAACATAAAGCTCTGTAATTGTGTCCATGTAGACATTTTAAAATGCACTGTGATTTAAATCGCAGCACGATGACGCCACGTCACGCATCTATGACGTCACGCCGGTTGCCAATAGCGTCCCCTGGCGGCTGCTGCTGCTGCTGCTGCTGCTCGCTGACGTCGCTTCAGCTTGTCATTTTTTTTCAGCCCCGGAGAAGTCCGCACCTTGCATGGTACCGAGCACCGTGTGCTGTGCCGTGGTGAATCCGAGGTAGGCGGCTGCGCTTTTGTGGAAGACACCCGTCGACCGTGATCGGTAGCTTGTTAGCGTTGTGTGACATGAGAGCTCGCGCTGCGCTGCCAAATGATGCTCATCATAGGAAAATGATCCGCAATGGCGTCTCTTGTTTGAGCTTGTTCGTGCCGAGTGTTTGCTCCAGCGGTGTGAAGAGGTGTCCTCGTTCGATTCTGTTGCAGATAGTCGCCACAGTCATCCTCGTTCATGAAATCATTCCGAGTAAGATCGAAATCCACGAAATAAATGGAAAACGCTTTAAAAAGAAACGAAAAACTGGAACTACACTTTGCGTTCATAAAACCGCCGAAAACTAACGATAATTGAAAACGTCCTTTATTTTGGCCTGTGTCGTTTAATATCATACATGAGTTTTCCAGGTTAATTTGAAATGTATTTATTTAGTGATACTGCACATCCGTACAAAGAAGGAAAGTCAAACAGTCGTTTGAGATTTGCTTTGTTTACTTGACTAAATGCTTAGTGCCCGATTTTTTTAATCTTGCACTTGACAAATACTCCCTGTCTTTAAAAAAACTACAACAAAAAATGAAACGAGTAAAAACTAAATGGAAACCAAGCATTTCAGAAAACAACAACTAACGGGCTTGCTTAAAAAAACGGATCCCGATAAAGCTGAATTGAAAAATGGAAAAAGTCAACACAAAACAAAACCCAACTATAATGGAAAAATCCTCAAACTAACAGTGCACAAATAGAAACAGAAAACCATTGACATCATCATGAGTGCGAACCGCAGCTATGCTGTCCTCATGAAAGTCCAAAAAGGGAGCAACTTTGCCATCAGTGCCCGAATGGAAATTTAGGTGCGCTTGATCAAGAGTACTCATCCAACAATAACACGGAGTTAAGATGATTTATGTATTTATTTTCAAAACCAAATGCTCAGTTGCTGACCTTTTGACCTTTGCTTGTGTCTGTAGTCAGGACCCATGCCCTCCCTGTCAGAACAGCTACAGGAGGCGCGCAGCCAGGGAGAAGTATGTCTCTACTCTGGCGGCAGAGTGGTGGAAGTGCGGGCGGGTGTGATGGTGATGGCTCAGCTTCCTTTACCGCCGTGCTCCAAGTACCACCACATTGCCGCAGAAACCATGGTGATCGAAAACAGCTTCGGCAGCAACAGAAAAGAGGTGAACGGCATTTGATTCTCATTTTTGCTGATATATATATATTTTTTTTTTTGTGCAATACTTTTTCCATCCATTGTCAAAGCCGCTCATCCTCAGTGTGCCGGAGCCTATGCCGGCTGTCTTTGGCCAGTAGGCGAGGCATTGTCAAAGTCGCTCATCCTCAGGAGGGCCGTGGGTGTGCCAGAGCCTATGCCGGCTGTCTTTGGCCAGTAGGCGAGGTACACCCCAGGGCTAGGCAGCGGCAAATGTTGTGACCCGGCCAGGGCCCGCAATAGAGACGATGACCTCTGCACTGTGAGCCTGCCAATACTTTTTAATATTTGGGATTTGTATTGCTTTTGTCCGGGATCCGAAAAAGGAAAAAGGGGAACCTAGATGGAACTACATTGTTGCAGTTTGTCTTCCTGGGAAAAGCATGTGAAGCATTTTCAACGCCGAGTGTAGCTGAGAATAAGGTTCATTGCTACACGACTTTTTTTTTTGGTCATAAAAAGAAGCATAGACTGAGCCGTTTTGCTCATTCCGATAAATGCTCTTTGGTTTTGGAACGAGCTCTTATCTGAAGCCACAGCTAATGGTGACTCAATGGAATTAAATCTGAGTTGATTTCTAAATCTCAGTGGATACAAATGATGGCAATTGCCAAATCTCGGAAAATGTTGCACCCTTGCAACACTCCACCAGTGAACGGCAGCAACTCAATGTATACGCATTAGCTCATGCATATTTCAGTCGAGATTACGTTTGCGGGTTGGCGGTCAGACGATTGCAGTTTTCTTTTGAAAATCTCACCCCTCTTCTCTTTGCTTCTGCCAGACACTCACATCACTGCAGCGCTTATCGACAGCTCTGAACATCTTGGAGAAGTATGGCTGTAATCTGACGAATCCCAACAGACCAAAGTACTGGAGAACTGTCAAGCACAACAATCCGGTCTTCAGGGCCACCGTTGATGCGATCCAGGTAACGGTTTTGGTTTTCAAAAGAAGAAAAAAATGATGGCACGGTCGGAAGAACTTCGGTGGGGTGGGGTTATTTTTTTTTTTTAATTATTATTATTTTTTAATCACGCCAAAATTACAGCAAAAGGTGAAAAAAATACTTTCAGATCAAGTGCATGAGAAGAAAAAAGAAGTCCAAGATCACTTTTCCAAAAGAGACGTGAGCCTTTTAATTTGTGTGTGTCTGTGTGTCGCGTGTGCACCCTCGACAGCCACTAGGGGGAAAGACAAGAGCCCATGCAGCTGGGAACCCCCCCCCCGCCCCCCACCCCCTAGAAAATGCCGGTATCCGTGTCGAAATCCAAAGAATGACACACCAGGGAAGCGAACTATTCAGGGCCGCAAATTTGCGTTATTGCCAACATCTTCCGGTTGCTGTGTTGAAGAACGCTTGAATAAATGTTGATGGAAAGGCGTCAAACATGTAATGGGAGCAAACGCCTTCCCTCCTCCTTTTCCCAGCCAGCCGGGGTGCAAATTCAAGGCGCAATCAACGTGTCCCGCTGAACCTTTGATGGTCTTGCCTGTCTTCTTCCAGGGAGGGAGGGCCGTGCTTTGTCTCTACGGTTACTCCAATCAGCAGCCGGATGGGCTCAGCTTCCCCGACGATGTCGCCGATCCCGATGTTGGCAAAGTTGCGGCAATAACTCTGGAGGTGATGAGCCTCAGGATGGAGCTGGAAATGCTCACCAAGGTGCGACTGCTGTTCGACGCCAAACCCGTCTGTGGTCTTTTCGGTTTCTTTTTTTTCCCTTTCAATATTCCACCTTGTTTGCCGCATGTACATATACGCGATGTATTTTACAACATGAGCATTTGCTCTAAAGAGCTGCAGGTATGTGACACAACGGTTGCATGGAACTCAACGGAGTCCCATTATCCCTCCATCCATCCATTTTCCAATTCGCTCCTCCCCAGGAGGGTGGCGGGCGTGCCGGAGCCGATCCCAGATGTCTTTGGAGCTTATTTATTCATATCATGGAGGGAATCCGTGCCGGTGGACTTTTTTCCTTGTCATGCCGTCGGGACTTGCGGTGGAAGCGTCGATCAGGCGGTCATCGTCATGATGGGGCCGAAGATCTCGATTTTTTTTTTTTTTTTTTTAATGCGCCACGCATGCGGCGGATCGCTTCGCAACCCAGTCGAAGTGGACTTCAAGAAAAATGAAAACGTGCTGGAGGTTGTATCGTGTTTGATATTTGTTAAGACATTCATGATTTCTTCTCCCAGGAGACTCATCCTCATCCGGAATTCTACGAGAGAATCATTCCTACCCTAAGACACAAGGTGAGCGCCAGCCACGATGACAAAGACTGTTGGAAATCAATGAATTGCCCTTGGTTGAAGTCGTAAATATGGATCTGCACTTCCGACGGGGTTTGGGGTTGCAGAGAAGGCTTTGAAGGACCCGATGGCATGCCCCGGAATTTTATTGAAGGCTGTCCATTCAATACGTGGCTCAAAGATCTGCGTTGGATGTTTTTGTTTTTTTTCTTTCAATAGCTGATCCATCATATTTGTACGCACGGTCTGAGCCGGCTCCAAATTAGTTTGCAGAGTACAACCACATTGAGCAATCACCGATTTGTGCGTGAAAAGCGCGTATGCAGATTTGAAGCACGAATTCGTGCGGTTGGTGAACGAGGCCCGTTGCGATGTGCGATGAAAGCAGGTGGCGGCGCGTTTTTCCAAAGGTGGCCCTGGAGAAGAGGAATGAAGTAGAGCAGAAGTGAAGGGAATATACGGGCTACTGCAGGTGCGTGAATGAGAGAGGTGCACGAGGACATGCGAGGCGACAGGGAGAAGCGAAGGCGGAGCCCACTTTCAAGCGGCGATGGGCAACTTCCAAGCGGCCGCCAGTTTCACGTCTCTGCTTTCAAGTCAACCCCGTTCTTATTTTACAAATACGTTAGCGGGCGATGGCCTCTGAGCCCTGCCGTCACTTTAGTATCGTCGTTCATCATGTGG